GGGCCTGCCTGGCTCCCCAGCCACACCACAGAGGACCATGGGGGAGCCACCTCCCCATCAGAAGAAGAGAATTAGAAATATCAATCCTAGTGCAAGAAACCATAATGAGTACGTTTTAAAATGCTGCCAATATAAAGGTATGTATCAATTTACTACTAATAAAATATACCCTTCAAATACACCCTATAAATTCAACACAGCCCATTGGTGCTCACAGAATGATTTTAATTTTTTGCTGAACTCTTGTATCTAAAACCACTCTGTGGCTCCAAGTTGCAAACAAGCATAGCACTGGCATGAGTGTTGACTGATATTTTCACTCCTAGACATAAATAAAAAATAACAAAAGCAAAAAGGACTGGGAGTATAATTCAAGTGGTAGAGTGCCTGCCTGAGTTCAAATCCCAGTCCCATCAAAAACACACCCCCAAAAAACAAAAGTCAAAAGACAATTGGCAAAGCAACAAACCAAGCCCTGAAATGTAGTATATGCCAGTGTCCATGGTAAAAATGATACCCAATTTGGCCATGAGGAATTTTGTTTTACTTTTTGCAGTGCTGGGGATGGAACCCAACACCTTGTGCATGCTAGGCAAGCACTGTACCACTGAATTCCATCACCAGCCCCCAGAGAGATTGAATTGACTTGGAGAGGAGATATACACAGTGCTATAGACACTATTTTCCACAGAGACCCAAGCTACAAATAACCCCTAGACCTGGGTGACAGTAAAATGTGGTAAAATGGTTAAGTGATGAGTTTCAGTATGCATTACCTTTGCTTTTTAATATATTGGTGCACAAACTTCCTGGAAATCTAACATTTGCCAGCGTAGGCCAGCTAAAGCCCACAAAGGCAGCTGGAGCCCCGTTCCTGGCACTCACCTCCCTCGTGTGCCAGGCAACATCTGGGCAGAGGGCTTTGGAGGTTGAGAACAGTACTAAGCAGAGCCTGGAAGTGCCCACAGGCCATGCCCTGCCGGCTCACATAGTCCAACTCACCCTGACGCCTGTTTGCTCTGTGCAAGTTGTGAACTATTTCACTCCATTTCCAAGGAGTCCAAGTATTTCAACACCACAAATAGATGTCTGGGCAGGTGTAAAAAATAAAGAAAACAGAGAGGGATGTGCTGTTTTAGAGCAAACTCTCAAGAATGGCCTGCTTTGCAAGCCTGGCTCCTGGGCCTACCTCTGGGGGGTCAGTGAGAAGCCACAGCCCGCCAGGAACTGAGAGGAGAGCTTCCACCCCCAACACTGCAGGCTGAAGGATCCAAGCTGAGTGCTCAAGGGAGGTTTTGATTTTGAAACTACTGGACCCCATTTAGTGCTTAAAATTCAAGGCCTAAGAGTTTTTCTTTGAAAGGTCTGTTTCTAAAAGCACACATGCGAGTGCCCACTTTGCAAGCGAAAAGCCCAGCCCCACCACAAAAAAAACAAAGCCAAAACAAAACACAACAGAAACTCACCCATGTTTGCACTGAAACTGCCCCAAATACATGTTCCTTTTGAACCCAATCCCTGAAGTGGAAGAGTCGGATAGGAATGCAAGCTAGCTCCTCTCCCCACACACCATATGGTGAAGCCAAGGTGGGTCAACCTCGAGGTAGCTCTGAGCCACACAGGAATGGAGCGGGTGTGAGCCCAAGTGAGCAATGATGCCTGGGGCTGCATCATAAAAAAAGTATTAAAAATTCTTCTTTACAACTGCATTAATGTAAAGACAACTATACAAACAGTCTATATTAAAATGTTCACTTTGACTTACAAGTTCACTTTTCTTTCTGCTTATAAAAGAAATTAAAATCCTTTTAGGACCCCTAAAAGCATTGTGGGTGCTGGCGCCAGACCTGCTGGGCCTGACACGGGGTCAGTTGGCCCACCTGATGCTCTTGGATTTAGCAGCTGGGGCCCTTGGGACCAGTGTCAAGGTTTTGGTTCAAGTGCATGGTTTTGGGCAGAGGATGGCTGTACAACCCAACAGGAGTCCTGCAGACCAGGAATGCCTGCCTGATGCTGCCCTCTCATGGGTACTCACTCACCACAGCCTTGCTGGGCACCAGCAAAATAGGAGGGCACTATGGCCAGGCCCCTTGCTGTCCTCCAGTGGCTGGTGCTCCTCCAATGATAGGTAAGCAAGTGGTAGGCCACCCTGGGCTGGCGGTCATCACTCTCCCTAGTGCTCCCTCAGCCCTAGGGCAGCTATGTCCTCTGCCCACTTAGCCAGACCCACCTGCCCCAGGGGTGGCCACAGTGGTGCCATGGACTCAGCTGGTAGAGGCCTGGAACTGCTCTCCAGATGTTGGTTTCATTGTCTGTAGAATGGGAAGTTAACCCATGACTCCCAGCCATGAGGCTCACAGGAGAAAGGGGGAGCCAAGGTATCATCAACAAGTGTACACCATGGCCAGACACCAGTAGCTCATGCCTGTAATCCTAGCTACTAGGTAGACACTGATAAGGAGGACTGCAGTTTGAACCCAGCCTAGGCAAATACTTCATGAGACCATTACCTCAAAAATACCCAACACAAAAAAGGGCTGGCAGAGTAGCCACATGCCTAGCAAGTGTGAGGCCCTAAGTTCAGTACCACCACCACCAAAAAAAAAAAAAAAAAAGTGCACACCAGAGGCATTTTTCTTCATCCGTGAAGCCCCAACAAAACATGAAAGGGGCTTCCTGACAGATCCCCAGTCCTGAGCACTGACGCAGGCAGCTAACGTCAGGCACACAGTCACAGACGTCAACTCTGCCTGAGTTAGAATGGAAAGTTTGAGAGCCCCAGCCCTGAAAGGGTCCCTAACAAGCTTCTGGGAAGTGATGTAGGACTGTGACATAGGCACATCTCCCAGGGCCTGTCCCAACTAGGGCACAGTCCACTGAAGATGCCTGCAAGCCCAGTCCATTCCTAAACCAAGATGACAATTTTTATTAAAGAGAATGATAACATTCTCTCCTTTCCCTCCCCTCGGAAGGACAAGTGGGGGCCAGACAGACCTCCCCAGGCTAACTAAGAGTGAGAAGGATTAGAGGCTAGGGGACGGGAACAGTCAAGGGGCCGCTCAGACTGTCTGAGGACCCTGAGACCATCTGCCAGGCTGGAGCACATGGTCTCCTGTGTGATGAGGTGGGCACGCTGGTGGGGTAGGCTGGTAGAGCAGTGAGGGGGCTGAGTGGAGATCTGCTCTGCTGGCTCACCAGGTGGAGCCACCAGGATTGTGGTGCCCACACTGGCTCTCTGGCACCTCATGCTCAGAGGTTAATTGTCATGAGAAAAGGCACAAGTACAACTGGCTAGAGTAAAGAGCAGAGGGAGGGGGTGCACAACAGCAGCTGCACAGATGCTGGGAGGAGATGAGGAGATAAGCCACACCCAGCACTCACAGCACCACTTGGTGAGAAGTCAGGCCCACGCACATTAAACACCGTCATCCACAGCAGAACACTGGCTCTGAGGTCTCAAGTGCAGACTTTGCTTGATGACCTGTCACACCATGCAGTCCTGCTGAGACTAGAATGGGAATCAAGAGTGCAATGAAGAACAAGTAAGATGCTGAGAATTCACTGTGCTCTGACTGACTGACAGGGCCTGGGGCCAGAACGTCCTCCAGGCTCCTGACCAGTTGCTGGGTGGGGAGCCATGCTGTGGACTCAGGAGTCCCTCCTTCAGAACCCTGGAGCAGAAACACACATTTCCTTCTCAGTCCCTCACGAAGCATGGATTCCTCCCTGGCCACCAGCCTATGACATTCTGTAAAATTTGTACTTTTTTGAAATTTCTTTTTCTTACCAGAAAGATCAATTTTCTTGGTTTAAGAAATGGATCATATATTTGGAACTCAGCTACAAACATAATCTTTTCCTTCAGAAGCTCTACCCCTTGAGCTACATCTCCAGCCCTGCAAAATAGTTTCAAAATCAAGTTTCAGGGCTGGTAGAGTGGCTCAAGTGGTAGAGCGCCTGCCTAGCAAGCATGATGTCCCAAGTTTAGAAAAACATTTAAATTTCTTTTCTCTTGCTGAGTTAAAAAAAAGTGAGTTCTCCCCCAACTCCCTTTTATGCCAATATACATGACAAGCAAAAGGGACCTGATTGGAGCTTCACCTCTACCTAACGTACAGCTTAAACAAATTATGCTTACCAAAACACCTGGAAGACTGGGACATGGTCCAAGTGGAAGAAAAATACTTGCCTAGCAGTGTGAGACCCGGGGTTCAATCCTCAGTACTGCCAAAAACAAAACAAAACAAAAAAAAAACCTGGAAAAACATAAAACTTTTCCCCTCTGCAGTACTTGTCAGTCAGTTGTTCAGGGCAGCCCAGAATCATTTCGGGGGCTTGTTAATACATCAACTAGAGTCCCACACCAGTCCAAATCCTAAACCAAACCCTCAGTTCACGAAGGGCTCCTTTTGTCTTCACAGATTTAAGTCACTATTCTTTTTTTTTTTAGGTTACTGAGAAGAAAAACACGTGTCAATATCAAAGTAGGAAGCCTGAATTTTAGTCTTGAACTATTTTTCCCAAACTCTTACACATTTCCTTTGAACATAAATCACTGTAGGCTGAATGTATAAATTCAAATTCCTCAAGTGTGACTCCAGCATTCTTTGAAAACTTATAAGCCGTAGCAGAGGAAAATATTTAAGAATTCCATATGAATATTTTCTCAAAATATTAAATAGGAATAGGATTTAATTAGTCCAGTATAAAGTACAGTAGTAATCACATGTAAAGGCCTTAAAAAAGCTTCATAAATGATCTTAAAATTCCTGGTAAATGCTTACCTATCCAATAAAACTTCAATTAATACAGGAAAGGGGTGTCACAATATGAAAAGATGTACTTCCGTGCACACATGTGAAAATCAAAATCTAAATACTCATGGTTTTCCACGTGTGAACTGAATTGCACAATCCATACACTTATAGAAAAAATAGGTGATTATTTTTAATGATTTACATATAAAAGAAAAATAAACTTTATGATACAATTTGGTAGACTACTTCATACAAAATTTGACTCACATATAATGTATGTAATTTTGCAACACAAAAAATCTATTCATATGTACAAATTCACAAAAGGCATGCATCTTAACTTGAAGCAAAACAGTGCACTTAGGGTATGGCTAAGTCATTCAATTTAGTAGAAAAGAGATTATAAGCATACTAAGAACTAGTTAACTAATAATCTTCCCCTCCCCCAAAACTGTTTCATACAATCTTACAAATGGAACTGTCTGGTACACTTCTAAAAGCAAAGATACCCAGGGCATCTGCAGGCAGGTCTCCATAACCAGCCCCTGCACTCTCGGCCTGGGGAGCCCTGTCACTAACCCACTAAGGGTTTACTTTGAACTGTACCAAGGAAAACCAGACCATGCCATTTGTATGATCTGTAAAGAAGCAACTTTCTCATCTTAACATGGCACTAGGTTTGCACAATAAACGTTACCTAGAAACAGAAGGGTCAGGATCCAGACCTTAAGCCCTTAAGTATCTCTCCAAATACAATGAAATCCTTTATACAATAACTTAAGACCTGAGTAAGTATTTACAATATTATATGCAACTTAAAAAGCTAAGTATAAACCATGTGTTTTTTTTTACAATCCCTAAACTTTGCTTTAAAAAACAGTTTTCAAAAAATGGATAAAATCTATAAATCAGTACAGCCTTCCAGGTCTTCCTTATTTGGTTTCTCCCAAGCTACCTATCTCTTAGATGCACACACCTATACAAAGAAAAAAAAATGATGTCACTTCCTCATTCGGCAAGACCCTCTTCTTAAAGACACTCCAGGGGGCTCAGTCACTATCCATCTGGAGACAACACAGGGGCAAAATTTTGAAGAAAGTGAGGAGGTAGCCTATGACAACTTCATGTCAGACAATACCCATAAAGGCCAGACTGAAATCTCACTTGTCAATGTATGAAGGTCAAGGGCTAGACATGCAAGCAAAAGATAAGAGGAACCAATAAGAAAATTACATAAAGAAGTATATACAATTATAAAAGGGAAGGGGGAACAACCCTAAACAGTTGACATCTACCTTATAAGGATGCAAGCTGAAATTAACCCTGTTCAAATTGAAATTTAACCTATAATTTCATCATTTCCAGACCTCATTCCCCTATAAAGTGCCTATCAAAAAGCACACAGCGATGCTGAGGTGTGAAGTCCTTTCAGAAGGCTAAAGGGCTGCCGTTTCCTCGGTGGGTGCCACCACTAACCTGCTAGCGAATCCTGGCACAGGATTAGACAGACTGCAGCAGAAACACAGAGAACAGGCTTGCAGAAACAAATCTCAGAGGCATTTTGAAGAGCTATTTATAACTAGCAAGAATTTCAGGTCTTTTTAATTTCAGCTCAGTTTTAAAGCTCTAAAACTAAGCTGGACAGTGGTACTAACACAGTCTGTTTTCTCAGCAAACTGAACTGATTGAGAGCAATGGTTTCCTATCTTCCTTCAATGTTAACACTCTCTGAAATGCTGAATATTCACCTTCGTGATGTCAAATTGATACTGTACACCATTTTCTGAATTTTTTCCTCATTCCTGAGGATGTTGGCCTTCACAGCACAGATCTTGTCTTGCTGGTCTTTAATCAGCTGCTCCAGCTCAGCCAGCTCAGCCTTCAGGGGCTCCACGGCACAGTCTGTGACACTGACAGGAAACACAACCAGCAGTTCATCAATCTCCTGATGGTTTTATTTTTGTTTATTAAAACATCAAAATACAACAAAAGTAAGTTCATTTCAAGAAAAATAACAAAATACAAGCCTCCCACAGTACTGACATAAAGGACCAAGCCACTCACACCTGACCAAATCTATTTCATGTTTCCACAATCCTTGGCACACAATTAAGTGTGAAGTTAAATAACGAGATTTGTTTTAAAAGAGGCTAACATTTCTTCAATGATAGGCTTAAAATCCTTAAATTATATGGGAAACAGAGCCCAGGGACAGCAAGGAAGTAAGCAGCAATGTACCCGTGGATGCGGTCTGAACCAGCCCTCCTCACCAGAGGACACCTCACCTCAGAAACAGACTCACTGCTCTAGGAGGGTCTTCTGGCCACCCAGGTGTCTCTGGCTCATTTGCTCAACACAGTGACAGGTTGACCTTTTAATTGTTGGGCTAAATACTGGGACAACTTTACTTTGGAAAGCTAAAGTAAAAATTAACCATTCCCTTTAGGCTTCTAAAGCCTAAAATACAAACTATAACACAAAACAAAGAACAATGGTTTCCAATCTTTGTAGTAATAAAGCAGCATAGGTGAGGTAAGGAAGAAATGTCTGGGGTGATGCTTTTCAATACTTCAAATCAAAATGCAAGAAGCGATAACCAGTTTCCGTGCTACAACAGGCACTGAAAAGTGCTTGCTGATTTTCTAGCTTCCTTCATACTGTACATTTTAAATTTAAGGGGCGTTTTTAAGGAATAAGCAGTTAATAAGAGTAAAAATTTATTACAATATAGCTTTTAATTATATGGACTCATAGTCCATATATGTAAATGATTTTCTGAAAAAAAAATCAAAGACTGATATAATTACATGCTTCCAGATTCACTAATCATAAATATATCAAATACTTCCCTAAAACAAGTCTCACTTTTTAGTGGCAATATATTTCTTTTAAAGTCACAATTTTAAATGAGTTAATCAGTATTTCTTTTGCAGTAAAAAATTACTTTCAAGTTATAACTGATTACACAACTTTAGGGATTGTGATAAGATACACGAAAAAAATGGTATCCAAACTGCAAAGTTCTTTGTATTTTTTAATGTTCAAATCTATTTTGTCTTTGAACAACAACTCCCTATCTTTCCTAACTGTACCAAGAAATACTGGCTGTGCTAAATGAAGAAATACCAGTTCTCCTTTGGGGGAGGAGGTAAAAAAGGACAGGATGGGGGGCAGTGAGATTGGGCTACTGGGCAGTGCCCCTTTCTCCCCCAATCTACCTCCTTCCCACACCCAACCCCTGCTCCTTCTGCAGCTCCCCCACCTCTCCTCCTCTGCTCCTTCTGCAGGGCCTGCCCGCCCTCACCTCTGCTCCTTCTGCAGGGCCTGCCCGCCCTCACCTCTGCTCCTTCTGCAGGGCCTGCCGCCCTCACCTCTGCTCCTTCTGCAGGGCCTGCCCGCCCTCACCTCTGCTCCTTCTGCAGGGCCTGCCAGCCCTCACCTCTGCTCCTTCTGCAGGGCCTGCCCGCCCTCACCTCTGCTCCTTCTGCAGGTCCTGCCCGCCCTCACCTCTGCTCCTTCTGCAGGGCCTCTGCATGCTGCTTGTTCTCACTGTGCCACAGCTGCAGCTCATTCTGCATGGCATCCACATCCTCCTGAATGTAGTCCATGGTCCTGCCCAGGGGAAGTGCGCTCTTGCACAGAGTCTGGACAGAGACGCGGAGCTTCTCTATCTCCTTAGAAACGATGTCCTTCTCCTTCTTCCATGCCGACTCAAAGACGAGCGATTTCTCCTTCCGTTGAAGAAACCAGGAAGAAAAAAAGCATCTTCAGTCCTAAGGCAGGGCAGGAGTTTGCTAGGCACACTGCCAGAGCTGGTCAAAAGGCACAGGATGGGGACAGTTTCATTCTGATAACATGGGAATAGCATCACCATATGTGTGAGGTGCCTGGTGCCATGGGAGCACACAAGCCGGGGGCGGGGGGCTGGGCCTTCCCTTCTCAAAGGGTATAGGGGTCCATCTTTATCTAGAAATGTATCTGAAGGTCAAATTCTATGCAATAAGATCTAGTTCACAACTGACCAGAAAATATTACAAGAGCTTAGTGATGGGTGATTTTCCAAAACAAACTGGCAGTGAGGGTACCTGACCCTACAATACTCCAAAGAATCACCTTTGCATCCCAAATGACTCCTCCTTGCCAGAAGGCAGGAGGAAAGTAATCCAAAAGCAAGGAGAAAACTGGAGACATGGGAGTGAAGGAAGGGGGAGTCTGAGGAGGGCCCAGCCACAGCCCCATATAAGCAGAGGGCCAGGCTTGTTTGGCTGGACTGCTGGCTGGTCTGAGGTATGGCCTTGGTGGAGCTGGAGAGTGGGGGTTCATGCAGCAGCAAGTAAAGGAGGTGAGCATATGGAGACCAACAGAGAACTTCATTCATTCAGTGCCAAGAGTTCTTGGGCTCTCTCACAAGCACTGTCTAGAATTCTCTTCATATGAGCTTTTATCACAGACATCTCTGCTTCAAAACTTGACATAACTTGACAAGAATGAATAAGAACTTTGGCTTAGGAGACTGTTCCCCTTCTTTAGGAAGCCCCCTAGACATCCTCTGCCCCCACTCAAGACTGGCTCAGCAGGCCTTGATTCCCCATTCACAGGTTGGGTTGAATACATTAATATACAGTGAATCAAAGTACTTCTAAATCTGGCTTCAGACTATAGGCTCCAGCAGGGGGAACCCCATGTCTGGCTCTGTTGTGGCCTATATAATGAACAAATCACGTGAATTAATGAATGAGCTATCATGAGTCTAGCTCCACTACTTACTGTGGACACACTTGGGCAAGCAAAGAAAATCCAAAGCTTGATGACACACAGAAAAGGTTTTAAAACACAACTAGAAGTACAAGGTAAAATTCATGGAACTAAAGAGCACGTTCAGTAAGGTTGTAGGATACAAGATAACCATAACATCAATTGTATTCAAAATACTAGCAATGAACACTGAAATTTAAAATTCAATGTCATTTATAATTTCTCAATAAGAAAAATAACTAGATATAAATCTAACAGAACATGTACAGGTTTGTGTACTGAAAAGTGCACAATACAAACGAAGGAAATCTAAATAAATGGAAAGATATACCATGTTCATGGATTGGCTGGCTCAATTCTTCCCAAGCTGATATACAAGTTTAATGAAAATTCCAGCCAAAAATTTTAATAGACAAGATTATACTAAAATTTATATGGAAAGGCAAAGGAACCAAACTAGTTTAAATATTTTTGAAAAAGAATAAACACAGAAAAATCAGTCTTCCCAGTTTCAAGACTTTATATAGCTACAGTAATCAAGACAGATAAGACACATAAACAATGGAACAGAAAAGAGCAGAAAATCTAAAAATAGACCCACACAAGCATGTTCAACAGATCTTTGACAAAGGTGTGAGGGCAATTAAATAGTGCTGGAGCAATTAGACTTCTCTGAGGGGAAAAAAGAACCATATCCTAATATACCTTAAACAAAAATTAACTCAAAATGGATCAGGGATTCAAATAATAAAAGCATAAGCTGATAAAATCTTTGAGAGCTAGGGCTAGGTAGAGTTCTTAAAATTGATACCCTAAGCATGTCTCATAAAAAGAAAATGTGATGAACTGTATTTTATCAACATTTAAAGTATTTGCTCTGCAAACAATCCTGCTAAAAAGCTGAAAAGACAAGTTCAGGAGCGGAAATATGTTCAAGCCTTGTACATGACCTAGTATCTAATATCTAAAAAATATAAAGAACTCTCAAAACTCAGTAGCAAAAAGTAAATAAGCCAATTAGAAAGTGGGCAGTAAACACAAAGTCATTTCACTGAAGAGGACATGCAGATGGTCAACAAACACATGAAAATATGTTCAAAGCACTATCTATTTAAGAAGTGCACATTCAAACCACAAGAAGATATTACACCGTAAGTACCATAATGCCTAAGATGAAAAACAGTGACAACACCAAATGCTGATTAGGAGAAACTGGGTCACTTATAATTGCTGCTGGGAATATAAAAATGATGTAGCTACTCAGAAAAAATGTTTGGCAGTTTCTTTAAAACAAAAACTAAGCATGCATCTACCAGGGGTATGGTTTAGATCTAAAATTGACCCCTAAAGGCTCGTGTGTTAAGAGCTTAGGTGCCAGCCAATGAGTTTTTGAGAGGTGATTAAGATCATGAGGCTAACTTCCTCAGTGGGTTAATCCATGGGTGAATTCATAGCTGGATGGCCTACTAGGAGGTGGGACCTGGTTGGAAAGTAGGACCTGAGAGAGTGCTTTAGAAGGTACATCTTTTACCAGGAACTTCTCTCTCCCTCTCTCCCTCCCTCCTTTCCTCCCTTCCCCTCCCCCTCCCCATCATGGTCACCATGAGGTGAGCAGTTCTATCCAGCTACATACTCTCCACTATCATGTTTACAAGCCCACAGCAATGGAGCCAGCTGATCATGGACTGAACCTCTAAACCATGAGTCAAAATAAATCTTTCCCCTTTAAGTTGTTTTTCATAGGGATTTTGTTACAGTGATAGAAAACTGGCTAAGACACATACAATCCATCAGTTAAATTCCTGGGCATTTACCCAAGAAAGTAAAACTTATGTTCACATGAAAAAAACTTTACACAAATATTTACACACACTTTTTATTCATAGATGCTGCAAGCTGTTGTCCTTAATGGATTGAATAAACTAGCACATCCATACCATGGAAAAGTACCCAGCAACAGAAAGGACTGTCAATATACACAGCAGCCTGGACAACTCTCAGAATTATGCTGAGTGAAAAAGGCACCAAGCTGCTTGATCCTTTTTTTTTTTTTTTTTTTGAGGGAATGGGGTTTGAACTCAAAGCTTCAGGCTTGCAAAGCAGGCACTCTTCAGTCCATTTTGTTCTGGTTATTTCAGAGATAGGGTCTCAAGAACTATTTGACAAGGCTGGCCTCAAACCACAACCCTGCCGATCTCAGCCTCCCAAGTAGCTAGGATTACAAGTGTGAGCCACTATTGCCTGCTTGATTCATCCTATATAGCATGCTTGAAAAGACAAAGTCATAGAACTGGAGAACACACTGGAGGCTGCCAGGGGTGAAGGACAGGAGGGAAGGCTATAACAGGGTCTTGATTACCCCTGCCAATACAGCGGTTATGAAGGTGCACCACAGTCTTGCACAATGATACCACAGGCAAAGGGGAAGGTAGACAGCACATCTCTAGTGTTTTTTCCAAATGCAAAAGAATCTATGGTTACAGATGCAAAATAAAACGCTTACTCAAGAAGTAATGGCTATCTAAATGCCTTTAAATTAAAATGCTAACTGTCTACAATACAATAATAAACTAATTCCCAAGGGGAAAGTGTACTGTTTTCATTTTACACAAATCAGAAAATCCCTTAACGATCTGGATGGCAAACTTAAAATTCTATTAAAGCCCATTTATAATAATTATTAATGTTCATTTGGCATTGAGCTCACGCTAATGTAAAACCAGCTAGGGTATAATGCAGGGTAGGAGACTCATGTGTGTAAAAGCCTAATAAAATTTGGAGCTAGTGAAGGAAAAGACACAGAGAAGTCATCTGCTCACGCCCTCTCATATTTTTGGTTACTTGGTCAAAGTCCTTCATATTTATGTATCACAGAGTCAAGAAGTTGGAATGCTAATTTAAAAGTTTCCAATTTTATGTCAAGATATTAAGAATTGAAAACAAGAAACCCTTGGGTGGAGATTATGACAGTAGAGAGAGACTTTTATTACTACCCTAAAAGACACAACACATTGCTGAAAAAAAACATTAAAAGAAGTCTGGCAATTTTCAAACTTTCATTTAAACTAACATGGCAGAGTAGAGGTGGACAAGTTAACCAGTGACTATGTGCTTTAAAAAGCACAGCCCTCTGATGACAGACTGATTCATATACCACTCGTGTAGAAGTATCAGCAACTTTCCACATAAACACAACCTTGTTTTAAAGAATTTTAATATGTACAGTAAAGTTTGAGAATCTACCACCACACTCACCACACAGGAATTAGTAATATGAAATACAATTCTGGAAAGAGAGAGCATAAATATTCAAAGTCTTTCTTTACATAAAATATGACCTAAGCCAACCTAGAAGGCAGTGGACTCGGGCACAGAACAAGCAGTTAAGGCCCTATGGCTTGGGAACCCGGCGCCAGTCCTGCCACCTACCAGCTACACGGCCTTGAGAGCTTCCACACGATAAAATGGAAATAATAATATTTATTCTGCAGGTAAGATTGAGTGGGATAATATAAAAGCAGCTCAGTGCCTTTCACAAGGTAAACTTTCAGTAGATGTTAACTATTACAGTAAACTTATCCCCAGAAAGATCAAAGTCACAGGCTCCTGTAGCAAGAAGCACTGGCAAACCATCACACCTCCTATCCATCTGTCAGCTACAAAAGACTCTTGTCAGGCTTATCTGGAGTACTTGGTGCATACTGGAAAACAATTCAGATATTCTCAGCCCTAGCTAGCATGTCCAAGTTCAGGTGAACAAGTTCTTCCGTTCATTAAAAACAATTTGCCTGAGGCTAGGCATGGTAGCACACCCCTGTACTCCCAGTTACTCAGGAGGTGGAAGAGGAAGGGCTGGGGTTGGAGACTACCCCAGGGAAAAATGAGACCCTATTCGAAGACTGAAGCAAAAAGGGTTAGAGGCACAGCTCCAGGGATAGTGGCTTCACACAAACCGCCATGCATGTGCACACCACAC